AAGTTGACCCTACCAATAAACAGGTCGTTCAAACTTCCGAATCATTTCCGAAACGGGTCCCAAACTGTATATCCACACGAACCATACACGACACTCTCTGACGAGTGAAAAATCTGGGGTGCAGTTAGGGATGGAGTGGGTGCGAGAAGTATAGGGGATGGAATGGAAAAACGCAGCAGATTTATCGAACAGCAGCCGGGGCCGAAAGTTAATTAATTACATTTCAGCGTCATGAATGGCGCGGTAACGATCAATCGAACGGGGAATTTTCCGTAACGGCAGGCCGGAAAGAGCGAGAGAGAGAGATACAGAGAGACATGATTTCTCGAAAATATTTTCGCCGCCAGGATTTTCCGGCCTGGCGAACGGCGACGAAAATTGATTTACAGGTCAAAGATAATGGCCATGTGTGGAAGCGACAGCCAAGTTAAATCTTGATATCGTGCCGGTGGAATTTGTTTTCTATTTTTAATTTGCGAGAAATCGGAATCGAGAGAGAGAGGAAGGCAGGAATCAAGCGGATTTTCCGCAACGGAATGACGGAAAAGGACGGCTTACTCGTTCGCGATTTTATAACGGGAATTCGAATCATTGAACGATCAATTTTGCGTGGGTCGAGATACGAGATTTTGAGGATGGTTCAATTCTGCGGACGAATTTTCGGGGGCTTGAATGGTCCCCCCCCCCTTGAGCGCGTCAATTTTGCGGCTTTGCTTCGCGAAACTTCCGTGAACCTCCAGGTCTGATAGCAGATACCGACAGGGAACGCTTCAATTTTGTAATTAAATCTCCAACTATGGAAGTTCAGTTTTATAGGACAACCTTGGGTGTGTCTTGTGGCTTCGACTTGTAGGATTCAATTTGGGACTCCGTTCCGCTTCCATTCCTCCCGTTTACTCTTGCCGTCCTTTTTGCCGAAAAGCTAGCCAAAATAAATAACTTCATTGGATGTTCATAAAAATCGGTATTCTCGTGTTTTCGGGGTTACTGAATTCGAATATCTTGTAAAAAATGGGAAATTCACAAAATTTTATTTCTTTCGATTTTCATTGTAAATACAGAATTTCTACGTTTATTTGAAACTCAACACATTTTTACTCAGAATTTGATACTGTATCGATGTATGGCACGAAAAATAGGACATTCCGTTAAGAAAATCAGGGTTACCTTGAAATCTCTGAAATGCCTCCACCCACCAAAAAAGCACGTACTTTATAAAATCTGCCCTTTGATGCCACTTAATTTTCATTCCTCAAAATATTCATACAGTATTGTACCGTTAAGTCATTTTTCGAGGTGATCAAGTTAGCTGAGACACCCTGTATTTCGTGTTCATTTCGTGGAGCACGGAATTTTTCTCGGGTAATTGTACTCGACCAATTTGAAAAATACTTAATTTCAACACGATTCGCGAACTTTACAGCTTCAATCGTTGCGACTCACTTCTGCAGATTTCATTCCCGTACTTTGATCGGAGATCGACTTCGGTGCAAACTCGTAATCCCGTTTTCGTACGTTACAGAAACACGATTCCGCAGTTTCACGGAGACATCTATGGCCGCAATTCTCGTCCGATTCGTTAAGACCCAAAAGCAGTTAAAGTTATAATCCAATTATTCGTATAATGGAACTCGAAACGGAAACAGAATTTGCACTTCGGTCGTCGTCGACCAGCGTGTTCGACGTTAAAATCCCGACCAGTAAGAACGTTTAATGTTACGATAAAGATATTGATAATAAATGATGATAACCATTAATTCGGTTGGGAAGCTTTTCGTTTACTCGTTATCATCGTCACCGTCATTCATTCCCAAAAAACAAAGCAGAAGTAAAGGCTACCAGACAGGGGCTATGTATCGCGAGCATTTATTTATATTGCGGGTATGAATACGGTCATTTAAGTCGCATTAAGATCCCGCGTATAATGGAACCGTCATTAAAACGCGCACGCTGCTCCGCACTCCGACCAATGGAATATCACCTTTATCCACGGGCAAACATCAAACAAACAACCGGCCGGAATATTTCATAAGGACGATGCTTAAACCCACCGACTGTGAATTCTTCATAATCGCGCGCGCAGTTCGCAATGCAACTGTCACCCATCCCCCACCCACCGTGTTTCTGTGGACTGGTTGCAACGAAGTTCCTGAAATCGCAAGGACGAGGACGTAACTCCCGGGAATACGAGAACCGTGCCAGATGCGATTGTAGCCTTTAACAGACACGAAGCTGACCGCTGGAAGAACCTCACAGCCGATTTGTGGCGCTCTCAATTATTTGTAACTCGTATTTTTGCAGTTTGTTACAGTATATGGTACACCAGAATGATTTGTTACCTGTGTAAAAACTGTGCGTCAGGATTTCTCGATAAAGGACTGTTTCTGAAAGAATTTACTACAAACATTTGGGGTGGATACTTCGGTACTTGGTCGCCATTTTTTTTTGCAGATGTCTCTACGTGTAGTTTTGGCTTAGGGTTCAACTATTATTTGTAATAATCACAGAAAATTGCAAGTACTATGTGTATGTGAACAGTAGTACAGACTCCTCGCGATTATCGTCCGATTATCTTGTTCTACACGATTATTGTCCAGGCATCAATCCCACCACTGGGGAGGGGAGGGGGCGTGGAACCTGTCATGCGCATACTTTTTTGCCCCTCCACTTTTCTTACCGAGGCTCGGGCTTCGGGCGAAAAATGAATTTACGAGAGTCAAGCATTTCTTCCTATACGATTATTGTCCCGGCGCGGACACGAGTTCGGGACAATAATCGGGACGAGTCTGTAAATTACGACGTTCATTAATATTAATATTTCGCTAATATTATTGTCATTAATATTAAATTAGTTCGCGTACCGACCGCTAGTGTCGCAGATAATTTTAAACTTCCAATAGTAACTTTTTCCTCCCGTGAAACCATCTTCATCCATTCCCCTCGTCGTACAGCCTGAAAAAAAAGCACTGTTCGTTGAACGCAGTAAAATAAGAACGTGAGAAGTATTCGTATCGTAGCATAAAAAGGTAACGCAGTTACCATTATTGCCCGGTGTGTCTGGGAGTCGATAGGATGGCGGGTACGAGCACGGTGAATTACCCGCGTGAGAAAAATTACTATGTATCCTCCCTCGCCCCTTCTTCGATAAGATTGTACTGCACACGACCCCATGAACCATAAGGGGCGAACGCAGAAGTGCCATAACCACTTACACATTTACAAAGATAAAAGCGCACGCCCTGGCCGATCCACGGTGCTCGTCGTGACCGAGCCAGCACTTACATACTTTTCCACCGAACAACGAACGGGAACACCACGATGGCGAATTCTCCGCCGTGCCGGAAGCACGGAAGTATTTATCGAAGAATAAGAAGGCGGGGATAAGGAGAATTCAGACTTCGAGGTACCTACCGACCGGCGCTCCTTCGCTCTCGAGATTTTATTTCCTCCGGCGATATATTTCGCTCGGTCGGATAATTTCCCTCCCTCCATCCGTAAAATTTACACGCGTTTGAAAATGCATGGCGACGAGACGGATCATCGTTTCATGTTCGATGTTTTCTTTTCTTTTTTTCTTCCACTCCGTCTACGAAAGTTACGGTGCCATCCATAGACGCATAATATCTAGACTGCGCATTTGGCCAATAGGCCGTTAGATGGTTGAAAAAGATAGCATGCTTTGAGTCATGATGCAAGGATACAAGGTGTGCACGTGCGAAGCCTTCGAGATTACCCAATAACGTGCCCTTCCTAAGACCCCCTCCATATTGCATTGTAAACCAGTACGATCGTTTCATTAAGAACCGGTAAGTTTAAAATACAAAGTAGCGGACGAATTACCAATGAAAAATGCATTCTTTTCCATTATCACTTTCAATTCTTAGTAGAAAAATTTAATATAATAGAAACAATTTAATATACATTACGCTACAAAATAAAATAAAGCCTTGTATTATTCTGGCATCACTGCCACAGACTTCTATTTAATATTGGTATTTGACACCGCTTTAGTTTACTTTTATATGGGCAATCCTATTAACTATAATTGCTATACGTACTGAGATGGCTACCACAACCTACTCGCTATCAGGTATCGCATAGCGAATGTCAGATCCCAAATTAAAATGACTGCGTTCACACCACGTTTGCATAATGCTCCCAAATTGTTTTCTTGGCGGTCAGATTTTAATACGACGGAAAGTTGGAATGCGCAGTAAGAGACGAAAATGAGTCTACAGCACAGTAGTTTCTCTAATTTTTGACACGGCCTGACTATGCGAGATATTCGAAACGCGCGGTCTAGATATTACAAGTCTATGCTGCCATCGTGGTCGTGCGTTTCCACGTCGAATGAATCGAAGAAATTATAGTCGCCGCGTGACTCTGTTATTTTGTGCATAAATTCACGACAAACGACCCAGCGATCGTGTTTCACGTAGACTGGAGTTACAAGTCGCGAGCTTTAGTTTTATTCTCTGTAGATTTACCGTACAAGTGGAGCCATTCTACGTAGAATTTATATATTACGTATATAAATAACACACATCTTCCTACGGTCTTTCGGTCCTTACCCGAGCATTTTCATCTTTTCCAAACCTGCTATTGTCCTCCAGTTTCTTTCGACCTAATCCTTGTTCCTGGTCACTGAACCGAGGTCCATAAGCGGGTTATAAAATCACTCTCGAGGTCATCTTGACCAACAACCCCTGCCTTCAAGACCCTTCACGGAAACCACCACTCCGAATCGTACCGTCTCTCGACTCGCAGTATTCAGTAGGAGCCTTCGAACACTCATCCAGAATTTACTGTACTTGGCTTTTCGATTTTTCTCCACTGATTCCTGCACTGTGCAGGGCTGGTAACTGCGTCGGCCAGTCGTAACCCCGGGGCGTTTATTTAACCCTTAAAATCGTGGCGGGCATCCAATTTCCCAGCGACTCGGCCTGGCAAGAGCAAACACGGCTAATAAACATTCACCGTCCCTCTTCTTTCTGTTGCAGCTCTATCGGCACACGTACCTGGCCAACTACAGGATCGTGAACCTGAAAACCTTGTAAGTAAACGAGCCGACCCGGCCTCCAACTTCCTCCTTTCCACCCTCCCCTCCTCTCGCCTCCCCGTACTCCTCACCAAGGGGCCATTTAGGATAATCGTATCTCAAACTTATTCCCGCGGTCGAGTTTAGATTTGCATTTTAATCTTCGCGCCACCGCCGGCTGGAAACAGCGGTCGCCCCCGCAAATTATGGCCTCTCCCCGCGAAATTTTCAGACTCTGGGATCTTCGTCGAGTCCTCAGCGACGCGACCGAATCGTCCTCTCACAGTCCCTCGAACCTTAATTCGTCGTTTAAGAGTCGCTTATATCACGATTAACGCCCCCTCGCCACCCCCTCGATTTCTAGCTTCAGGATTCGTTCCCAACCCTCGGTGCGAGCGGATTAACCCTCTGAGGGTTTCATCTGTACCAGGTGACCTTGAAGAATTATGCTGAGGATTGCAGTGGGAATCGAGGATATTTCTTAGAGATCTATCGATACCAGAGATCTATCCTAAAATCGTTATTTTTGTCTAGTTTGATTTTTACTTTTGTTTTTTAATCTGCTCTTTTTTCATAATTTCCATCTGGGACCATTTTGAAACTATAGTCCGTCCCACGGAATTTTCAGGATGCGTGTGTTTAATGTTTAGAGGAATCGAATCATTCTATTTCCCATTACCGTCGAAGAGCTGCGAACGGCGAGAATTCCGAATCCAACAATGAAAATTCGTTAGACCGTGAAATTGGTTCTCGTTAAGCTTCGACGTGTTTACAATATTGCTCCATTCTTTCGGCGGGAATTTCGTACGAAAAATTGCGGGCAGCAGCAGCCCGTTTTATAAAGTTCCGTGGGAGAGCCTGTCGTCCGGAACTTTGGAAAAAGAGCAACAACCGATATTGTTCGAGGAATTTGAAAATAGTTCTTAGGAAACTTCCCTATCCTCTGTCCTCTCCCTATCCCTTTATGGACGTATTTTAAACTTCGGCCCTTCAACTTCGCGTTAGATACGCTGACGACAGATGAAAGCCGTCTTTCAAACTCGAATAGGAAAATACCGTTCAACGGACGAGACGCGTGTGATGCTGCCCCCACTCCATATCCCCATACCTGAATTTATTCTTTAATGACTTTCGCCGGATATCTCGGTTCATCTCGCGCATCGGTGAACACGAAGGACTTCAAATGTTTGCATAAACTATACTTACACACAGTATTCGAAGTTCCTCAGAGTGATATATGGTTTTCGTATACCAGGTGTTATCGTTTCCCTGGATTCGTTACCTCTCATTACCATTTTCAGCAGGAAGGAAGTACTAAGAGAGAAATGCCAGAGATTTATTTTTTCCCAAGTTGAAATAAAATGGAAAAAGAATTCAAATTAAATTAAAAGAAAAACAATTAGAAATTGGAGTATTAAATTTCACTGAATTCGTTATTTGATTGTGTTTTACTATACAAGGATTTTACTAGGGTAGAAATAAAATGGAAGAAAAAATTTTAATGAAATTTAAATAAAAAAGAATTAAAAATTGTAGTATTAAATTTTACAGAATTCTTTATTCGATTGAGTTTTACACAAACGGGGTCTTGTGATCTTTTCAGTTTCCTTTCGGTACCAATTCTAACCACCGTATTGGTTCCGAAAAAGTAAGGATACGTTTTCTTCTCCCATACTTTGGAAGGAAACGATATTACATTCTGCCGAGCTACCTGTAGCCGACGCTTGCTATGATCCCGGAGGGGTAGGGCGAACCTCGACTTTAAACACAGTTAATCATTTATTATTTAACGGCCACTGCATAATTCAACGGCATTTTCGTTACATCATTTCACTCTCCGAAAGTTCTGCCAGACTCTCCTTAAAACCAACCCCTTCCTCTCCTCAACCCTCGATGTTAAGAAATATGTTACGTGGCCGTTATTTTTTCCCCAACTTTCCTGCCTCTCGACCCTCTGCAGGAACCTTTAAAACCCTGAAAGCTTCGTCGGCGAAGCGAGGCATAAAAAAAACTTGCTCGGATGTTTTTGTCCAAGCGGATGGTTGAGATAAAGTGGCGAACGGTTTCCGTTCGTTCCGCGGCCTCGTGAGATACTTTATCATACATTGATCGGGCCACGACAAACGATTCCAATTAGCGATCGGGAACAAAGAAAAGAAGGGTGATGGGTGAAGGAAGGGGGGGGAGGGGACTTCTTCGTTGCTTTGACGTCGGACGCAATTACGGCGAAATTGCCGGGACGAAAGTGGCCAGAATTACAGAGGGGACAGAATGTCAGACTTCTGCATTATCGAGCTGTAATTGCGAGGCTGCCGTGACACCTGACAGGTTGACGTTTCTTCGCGGATTTGAAAGCGTCTGATTTTAATCCATTAAGGTTGATACAGTTTCAACGTTCACCTCAGTAGGAGTAAAGAAATAGCGATTTCTGACAGTGTTAATGAGTTCGATCGGATCCAGTTTTCACCCAGAGGTCGGTTAAGGGAGTTTCTGTTTTTGGTAGCGTACGAGGTCTGTTCAAAAAGTATAATTTCAATGCTTATTTTGCACGTCATTATCTAGTAGTGGAACGTAATATTCTGATGTAATTTATTTCCGTAAAGTCTCAAGATACGTAAACTTGAAGGGGTTGCTATATTCATGACAGTCACTGTATTTACAATTGTTTCGTCGGGACACAACGATACCAGCGCGAGAAGCTTGAAATCCACGGTCGTCGTCGGTGGGTGAAATATTCCGAACATCGGTTTCATCGAGCAGCAGCTTGGAACGAGTGAAATGACAGCGAAAGTTTGCCGGAAGGGGCGTGCAAAGGGCTGGCGAAATGTTCCGATAAGTTAAGAACAGAGGCTCGCGGGCAACGTAGTAGGGCGGCGCGCATGAATGACTACGGTGACGTGACCGGCACAATGAATGAAGCGGCACGGGAAAGTGGAGGGGAGGAATAGGGGTTGGGAGTTGAAACGTTACCATTTCTGCCGGTGACATTTTTCCCGACCCCACGGAGACGGTCGGATTGCTAACAGGCGAAAGGGAAATTTTCCAGGCGGACGTCGAATGTAAGATTCGCCTCGGCGGCATGGCAGATATGAATTCCCGATTTCAATTCGCCAATAACATCTTGTCGTGGCGCGCGTTGTTTCACCCTCGATATTTCGCGTCGCGACACCAGACGGCTGCTAAATATATTCGAAACCGGGATTAGAAAGCAGGAGGAATCCCCATTCTTCTTGTATTTTATACTTCGGTCACCGTTTTTCGTAGGACTGTCCGTGAACATAAATGTAGGATCAATATAAGATTGAATTGTTACAGGGAATATATGTATATTCTTCATGTTGGTAGCACGTTCGGCTAAGTTTCTAATGTTTTAAATCAGGGATCGGAAAATATATGGAACTTTTTAATAGATTCTATTTAAAACATGGACCGTGAAACATTTTTAAAAAGCGTTGTCACATTATAAGTTCCGATGAGAACAAAGATGAGTTCTTGAAAATAATAGTTTTAATTCGACTGGAATTTATGAAGTATAAAACTAAAAATTTTTCTATAATAGGAACAGATATGTTGTTCATCATATTAAGAAAGTTCTCAGTCATTGTAATAAGTTCCTGAGGGTAAAATTACTTTCCTAAAAAATTCCCTAGGATCAGATAAGTTTCTTAAACAAAATATATATTTCTGGACCCCAGAGTCAGAGTGTATTAAGTGCACATTTTAAAAAAAATTACATTTTACATGCTTTCTGTATCAAATATTTCACTCTTTTCGGTGGTAAAATTTATTTTGTTCTAAGTCATGTAGTTTTTCATATAGTAGTTGAAAAATAATATAAAGTTCATATTTTCTTCGAAACCATACAATGTAAGTCCATCACATAGGGAAATTAAAGCAAAGTTCACCATTTGTTTCTTGCTCAATTCTTAGCCAACGGTTCCAATGTTACAAGACTTTCACACCTTTGACTTGCTCTTCTCTAAAGTTTGCAAAGTCTGACTTCATACACTCCGGCTCTAGGGTCCAGATATAAGTTCGAACAGAATTTGTTTAAAAAGGAAGGATAACTCCTTATTTCGATCCCTGTTTCAAATACTCTGTTGCATCGCTTTGTAGCAATAAGAAATGAAAAATTTAGCTTTGGATTATTGATACAGTATTTGCTTTCCTCAGTCGCGTATTTTCTTTTCGTTAGACTCCCTTATTCGTCAATAAAGACACAGTTTGTGTCTAAATAGAAATTCAGTTAGGCCTTCTGACGATGATGCACTGTCGAAGGCTGAAGAAAAAGGAAAAGAACGTAGGAATTTCTCGATCTCGAAAATGGGGCAGCTTCGACGACGATGAGTTCTGGCTGCTGCCACTCTCTATAGAGCTGCCGACATTTTGTCGGCAAACATGGCGTTTGACGCTCCACGAAAATCGCCTCTTTCGGGGCACCTAAGTAAACTGCAGAGCTTCCTAGACGCGTAATATTCAAACGATGGGGGAAGCCACGTCGGTTCGAGCGAACGATAAATGTAAAATAAGCCGCGGACGAGCGGCGGCTGTTTCGAGTGAACCCGCGAAATTCAATCAACATGTTCTCGTCGCCGCGCAGTCAACAGGGCCCCTAATTTCCGTTTAATAGGATTCGGGCTAAAACACCCGGCGACCTATTATTTAAACGTTATCCGCCTGGTAACTTCTTTAGTGGCTTCTCGATTAATTTCGTTACCGGGTTCCAACGTCAACAAATTAATTACGCGAATAGCCCCGCATAGCCGCGGCCATTGTCTCTCACATCTTCTGGAACCGACCGCCAAACGCCAACGATGGAAGTTCATAAAGCGGACGTAACGATGCTTAAATTGTAGTTATAACCATAACAACAACTATGGAAAGTTCGAACGGAATGGCCAAGCGCGGAACTTCCCCTCTGTTTTCAGTAATTAGTTACCGCTTGCCAGACTATATATTGACCCTATCCACTGATCTGTTTAGGAACGGCTTCCATTCGGGTTATTCGATAATATACCG